ACGGATAGCCCATACCTGTCTCCCGGTTAGATATCCCTATAATATAATAATCACCAATATCGTGCTGCAGCGACGGCGCTTGTTAAGTGGTATGGGCGACATTTATAACGTTTAGGGTTCCAATATTCAGCTTTCAGTTACGCTTAGGAACTCTAGCCCTTTAAAATAGACCACGCTTCCAAGTCATACCGTCTGGTAAAACCCGGCTTGCAATACGATCTAGCTATACGTGAAAGTGAACTTGGAACACCGTCCACACTTAATTCCATGTCGGCATTTCTGGGCTTCTACCGCATTTACAGCACCCTTCGCCCCATACCGGCGAGACAACGCCACCACACGCGCATTCTCGGATTAATAACATACCTCCATCTTGTGTATCGGCCGGTCGCCATGTTTTGACAATCCGAGGGAAGCATAAGGCACGAGGTAACCGAGGCACGTTTCCAAAGACGGCTGCCACCGCCGGCCGCATGCCTGCAGCCTCTGCTCGACGAGCCCATTCCGCTATGGGGAGCTTCTCGAACTTGCGCTCATACCCGCACTCTTCTTCGAGAAACTCTTTCATCTCTTCGATAGGGATAGCCATGTCGCCAGTCTGGTGTACGTATGACACGCCGCCATCCAGCGAGCGTGGTTTATTATCATGTACCATTTGCACAACATCGTCGCTCACACGTGATACGGCCACCCGGTCTAGCCACCCCCACAGATTCTCAGATACTGGCACTGCAGTTAACCTTCGCGAGTACCCAAGCAGCGTATGCAACAAGTCCCATGAAGCCTCCTCATCATCGTATCGTACCATGTCCGAGGGTCGGTGCATCCAAACAGGAAGCCTGAGCTGTTCATTCAGACGTTCTAGATAGCGTTCACTGGCCCACTTGCTTGCTTTGTAGCCGTTCGTGCCATCAGTGGGTGGCTGCGCCGCGCTGGCAGTCTCCTCGCCAAAAGATTGCCAGAAGGTGAACATGGCCACGCCCGCAGTGGACACGTAATGGAATGGGATGCGGCGAGGCAAGCAGAGGCGTGCCAACTCTTTGGTGGCGTCAAGATTCGCCCGTCGCAGGGTATGGTATGATTTGAGGTGTGAGACATCGGCTCCATTGTGGATCACCGCGTCGATGTCGGTGAATACACGCTCAGTGTCAGTCTCCGATAGACCCAGGCACGGCTCTCGTAGATCGCCTGGGTAGTATATCACTTTGGGGTTAGTAGGCAGGAGACCGCTAGCCAGACGCTCATCGAGCTTTCGGACGGCGACGGCGTGGACGCGCTCGATGTGTGGATTGTTGATGGCACTTCTCAGTAGCGAACGACCCAAGAAGCCAGCGCTGCCAGTGACCAAGATGGATCTAGGCCGTGTTGCCGGACAAGGTATATCTGGCCCAGCCGTGCCGATGCGAAGATCAATGGATGGTCGGGTCTCCCATTCCCAGTCAATCGTTGGCAGCTTCACCGTTTCACCAGGCGTACCTTGCTGCTTATTGACCAAAACGGACATGAGACGAAGCGTGCTGTTAGCGAAGAGGTCCGCCAGCCGAATGGAGACACCGAGTCGTTGACGGATATGAGCTTGCAGCCGGATCAGCAGCAACGAAGTGCCTCCCACGTGAAAGAAGTCGGAGTGAGGAGACATATCGTCGAAGAGACCCTGAGGCATCACCTCTCGCCATAAATCCTTGATCCCCAAGTCGTATTCGCTCAGGGACTGGTTCTGATTGTTGCTCCCGCCGGAATCCAGATTGGTCACCGGTAGTGTGCTCGCAGCTCGACGGTCCAACTTGGATGACATGGTCATTGGCATCTTGGAAATAGGCATTATGACGGCCGGACACATGTATCTTGGCAATGGGAGACTTTCCTTCAGATCGTTCAAGAAAGTCTGCTCATGCTCAGGTGGGCTAGCCAAAGAGAAGACAACGTGCGCCACGAGAAACTGCGCGTCTGTACTGCTACCTGTCGATCGCACAGAAGCGACTGCGTCTACTATAACACCATTGGCGCTCCGCAGGATTGTCTGTTCAATGTCTTTCAGGTCGATGCGCTGCCCACGGAGTTTAATTTCAGTATCATCTCCTATGCGGCCTTCGACGACGACGGAACCGTCCGACATCAGGCGGCCACGGTCTCTCGAGCGATACATAGTCTCCCACCGTCGACGAACCATCCATTGCGCTGCGAAAGGATTTGGTACGAAGGATGCTTTTGTCATGGCCTCATTGTTATTATATCCCTGAGCCACACCGACACCGGCTAGCACAATCTCGCCAGGCAATCCAGCAGGAAGGAGGTTCAGATGTTCGTCTAGAATGTATATTGCCTTGTTGGGCAGTGAACGGCCGGCGGGAACCGATCCCTCTGTGTAGACCTCTGCATCCTTCCAGTTGAGTTCCTGCTGCGTGGCATATACCGTGGTCTCAGTCGTGCCATAAATGTGGAAGAGTTGAAGATCAGGCTTGTCAAGCTCGCGAAGCTTATCCATCAGTGAAAGATGGAACGCTTCAGCACCACAAATTGCCACCCGCCAAGCAGATGAACGCAATCTGTCCAGGTCACTGAATCCCAGCCAGCTATTGTACTCGGACGGTGTGCCAGCGGTGTGCGTGACCTTTTGCTCTAGCATGAAATCCACGAGCGCGAGGGCATCTCCGCGCATATTTCGCTCAACCAGGCACACGGTTCCCCCGACAGGCCAAGCAATGAACATTTGTATAAGTGTGATGTCGAAGCCCAATGAACTTTGCGCAAGACTTACCACATGCTCATCGACGCCGTAGCACTGACAGGAAGCTTCGAAGACAGCCCGCAGTCCCTCATGCTTGATGGCAATTCCCTTTGGCTTCCCTGTGGAGCCGCTGGTGTAGTACACTGCGGCCACGCCATCTGGAGAAGCGCGAATGTCAACCACGGTGTCGGTAACTCTCGGAGTCCACGATTTCCCATTTGGGCATATTTTACTCTAATAAGTACGTACCCTATGTATGTGTTAAAATAGCTGGAACAACGGGCAGGTAAAGTGAATTTCAAGTCTTACGTGATCATTTATTTATTGCAATCAATTTATAATGCTTTTATTAATATAAAACCTTATTTAGTAATGTTTATAAGCTTTTTTTATGAATCCTTTTACGAATCTATTTATAAGCTTTTTCCATTAATCTACGAATTTATTAAGCTTTAAATACTATAATGTTTATATACCGATATTGCGTATTTATATATAATGCTGTTTTAATGTTAAGATCTAATTAATTAAGCTAAAACCCTTACGGCATTATTTACCTTAACGGCTAAATTATTATAATTAAATTCTGGTTATTTTAGAATTTATTACTGCTATTTATAAATTTAAATGCGTATAATAAATAGGTTATTATCGCTATAAATTTAAGCAGTTATAATTGTAATATTTAAAGCGGCTTATTATTATTTATAAGCCAGAAATAATATACCAAATATTTAAGCTATATTTAATTTAATTACTATTTAAAATTTTTAAACGTTTTGGTTAATTTATATTTAAGTTATACTAATAAAAAAATAATCCTTATAGGTATTACCGCTAAATAATTTATATATAATAAAGCTATTTAAATAATTAATTATATATTATAAAATATTATAGTCGGCTTATCCTTTATAAGTTTTAATAGCTACTTTAAAGTAAAATAGTTCCGAAACATTATATATAATATAAATATAAAAATTAATCCATTATTAAGGCTTATATTTATTAATTATATAGCCTTAATAAATAATAGTTAATAGGTAAAAACCTTATTAAACCGCCTTATAATAAATACTTTTTTAAAGTTTCCTAAAATCGGTATTTATATCGGAAACTTAAATATATATGCCGGTATTAAAAGGAATATAATTTTTACCGCATTTAGAATACTTTACGATAATAGCAACTTATATAATAATAGAACGGATTTCGGGTATAGGTATGGTGGTATATTAGGGTTTTTTTAGACTGCGGTATAGCGTAGTTCGGATATAGTTAAAAGCCTAAATAAAGGCTTGGTATAATAAAAGTTTAATATAATAAAGGCTTAATATAATAAAGGCGCAACGCGATAAAGGCTTAATATAATAAAAACTTAACATAATGAAGGTTTGAAGTAATAAAGGTTAAAGTAATAAGGGCGCGATGGGATAAAGGCTTCGGTTGCAACGGGATAAAGGCTTTGGTTACAACGGGATAAAGGCTTCGGTTGCAACGCAATAAAGGCTTCGGTTGCAACGCGATAAAGGCTTCGGTTATAACGCGATGAAGGCTTCGGTCTTAAAGCTTTACGCTTAAACCTAATTTTCTATTGCTATTATTATTATTATTATTATTATTATTAATTGATAACCGTTAAGATAAAAAGGGATTAAAAGAAATATAGGTTAAAAGAAATTAAATAAGTAGTGGGAGGTATAAAAATAATGAAGAACTACTTATAGGTAGCCTTTAGGGATTCTTAATTTATAGTATTAGGTATAAACCACTACCAGAAATGAAATAATGGAGGTAATAATAGGTAGTATGATATATAAAAATAATGGTAAGATAATTATAAATGCCTCTATAAATTTCTAAATTTAATAGCTATAACGCGGCAATATTCCCGTTTTAAAAGGCGGTAAAAGCGTATGCGGGTTAAAAAAAAACCTCAGTTTTAAACGTTTTAAGGCCTAGTGGCTAATAATGGCTAATAAGTAGCTGGAATATAAGCAGTTAAATTACTTAAAGTAATACGTATTTATAAATACTTACTACATATATACTAAACCGGTAAATAAGCTATAAAGTACTTAAATTTAATATTATTAGGTTTATTTTATATATAAATTATATAGGAATTAACCTTATATATTTTATATAATAATTATTATTTGTTAATTAATAAATTATAGCTAATTATACTTATTTAAAATGCTTATAAAAAAACTATAATAAAACGTTAAATACGGCCACTTAATAAACATTAAGTATTTATGCTTAATAACGCCTTAAAAGGAAATCGAACCCTTATTTAGGACCTATTAATCCTAATTATACCATTAAACCATAAAAGCTTTATTAAAAAATAATGCTTCTACCATTATTTTTTAATATAACTATAAAGGTTCGAACTATTAGAAATATATATCCGCTATAGTTTAGCTATAGTTTAATATAGTTTTTAAATTATTATAATTTAACCCTAACTTAAGACATTTACCTATTAATGCCACTATAACTATAAGGCTTTAATTAATTAACGCCATTATAATTATAGGGCTTTTACCCACTAATACTACCTTATTAATAGTATATATAACTTTAAATTATTATTATAGCAAAACCGTAGCAGATATATATTCCTAATAGCTTAAACCTTCGTATTATAAAATAATATAAAGCCATTAAAATTTACTACTTATTAGCCTTTTAAAATATATAAAACTGTTAAATAATTAGCTTATAAAGTATATAGATCTATATATATAAATTAATCCGGATAATTAATTTATATATATAATTGCGTATATAATACGATTATTTATTAATTAATTAAGTATATATATTTAAAATTATATATATAATTATATACGTAAAATTACTCTTTTTATTAATCTATCGGAATTATATTAATTCCGCGCCGATAGTTAAAACCTTAGCTGCTTAAGCGCAGCAGTCGTAAATAAGTGCCACCATAATATAGATTATTTTATAATAACCGCTATAAATCTTACCTAAATAGCTAAACTGGGAGAGGCGTAGCGATTATAACATGGAATAAATGCCATTATAATAGATTATTTTTTTAGAATTAATAATTTCCGCTTTAGGTATAATTTATTCCAATAAATATATATCTTTATATATATATATATATCCTATAACTCTTTTATATATTACTTCTATAGCCGAAATAACGGGCAGGTAAAGTTAAATGTTTTAGGAATAATTATCTTAAGTTTTATGTATTTATTTATTATAATTAACTTATAATGCTTCTAATTATTAATAAAATATATACCAGTTCAGCCCTTAACCATTACATTATATATTCCTATTTTAGTATTTAAGTATATTTCTTATACGTAGCTTAATTTAACCCGTATAATTAGCTAACCTGGCGCTATAAGCCGATAATAGGAAAAAGCCTGGTTAATATAATACATTTTTAGTATTTTTTATAATTTAAATCTCTATTTATAAAAACTTTATCGTTTTTTTTTATTTATTAATACCGTTAAATAAAACTTTTTATATTTATAAAACGTTTTATAATTTAATTATATTCGTTATGGTTAAGGTTAAAAATGGCCGGATAAATCTTATCGATAAATTATTATTAGTGTTCGGCAGCAAGTAGAATTTTTATTATTATAATAAAGCTTAATAATGTTTTAATAGTAAAACGTAATTTTAAGCTTACAAAAAACAGAATAACCATCGTTATTAATTTTATCTATAAATTTACGCGATTTATTTATAAGATAATATATAGTTATTTCTAAATAAAAGTTAATATTATTATAATATTTAGTATAAAGGCCGATCGAATTATTCGGGTTACGAAAATATATCAAATTATCGTTAATAATTCTGAACCCGGCGACCTTAAATTCGGTGGTAATTTTATAAGGCGGTTTATAGCCCGCAGTTTTATATACCTTATTAATATTCCATTTTTAAACCTTATAAAATATAAATAATAGATTTATAAATTAAAAATATATAAAATAAATAGAAAAAGGCGTAAACGTACCAGGTAACCTTAATAAGGATGCTTTTTTAAAGCTTCTTAATATTAGCGCATTTAATTTAAATATATATAGCGGAAACGGCAGGGATATATTCCTAACCGCAGCTATAGTATTTTATAATAATGGTAATATATATAGTAGCCGGATAGAAGTTTATAGTATAAGCTTACCTTTTAATTAAGATGATATAATATAAGGTAATTATAACTATTTAAATATAGATTAATGGGTTATGTATGGTTATAAGTTATAAGGATAATAGTAACTTAATATGGTTATTATTAGAGATTTTTAAATTAAGGTAATAGCTATTATAAAGTAATGGCTATAGGAGTTATAAAAATAAAGGTAATTATAAATAGCTATAGGAATGCTTATATATAAGCTGTTATATATAAACTATTACTATAGGTATAAAAATACTAAAGATAGTGCGGCAGAATTCCCGTTTTAAAAAGCGGTGAAAATATACGCGAGTTGAAAAAACCTCGGTTTTAAACGTTTTAAGGCTTAATGGCTAGATTTAAATGCTTAAGGTATATAAATAGTTAAATTACTTAAAGTAGTACGTACTTATAGGTATTTATTACTAAACCAGTTAATAAGCTATAAAGCACTTAAATTTAATGCTATTAGGGTTATTTTATACATAAATTATATAGGGATTAGCCTTATACATTTTATATAATAATTACCATTTTATAAGGGTTTTTTCCGACATATTTTTTAACCTTTTTAATCGGTTATTCTTATTTAATAAACGTATTCTTTAATTTTCTAATCGGATATTCCCATCCGATAAGCGCAACAGATTTAAGTCGGTATATTGCACCTAATATAATATATCCTCCGACTTTCTAATTAGGTATTCCCATTTAAGCGCAACAGATTTAAGTTAGTATATCGCACCCAATATGTCCTTTAACTTTTTAATCGGATATTCCTATCTAATAAGTGTGTCCTTTAATTTTTTAGTCGGGTATTTTTATTTAATAAGCGTATTTTTTAACTTTCTAATCGGATATTCTTATCCGATAAGCGTAACAGATTTAAGTTAATATATCGCACCTAACATGTCCTTTAACCTTTTAATCGGATGTTCCCATTTAATAAGCGTATTCTTTGACTTTTTAATCGGGTATTCCCATTTAATAAACGTGTCCTTTAACTTTTTAATTAGGTATTCCTATTTAATAAGCGTAATAGATTTAAGTCGGTATATTATATATTTAAGGTATTTAATCTTTTTTACCCTATAACGATTAAACGTATTTTTATTTAATATAAATATTTAATATTTTTTACACTTAAATATATTAATAAAAAAACCGCTTTATTTTATAACGGTTTTATTAATGGATTTATAACCCTTTTTAAATATTATATAGTAATATAAGAGTTTTAATAACTTTTTTAAGGCCTAATTTGCGACTTTTTTTATAAGTTTAGCAGTTTTAACGATATATACCTTTAGTAGCTTTTCCTATTCTTTTACTATATTAAAATATATAGCTTTATAAACCCTATTAAATATAAGATTACGCAGACCCTATTAAAAACGAAATCGCGCGGACCCCGTTAGGAATAAGATTATACGAACCCCATTAAAAACGAGGTTATACGGTATCCTGGGCGTTTATAGATACCTAAAATAAACGAATTTTATAATTAGGCCTTCGGTTTAATAAATTTAATATAATAATAAAAAATAAGGTATATATTTTACTTATTAAGATATTCTCCGTTTTAATAAATATAGTTACGTTTTTTATTTATTATTTATTAAGTATAGATATAAGCGTAATATAAATAAATTAATAAGCTTTTTTAGGTATTATTATATTTATAAAACTATTAATTATTAATTATTATTAATAATTTTTAGTTAAATATATATAAAATATATATTATATTAATTATATGAATTACTTTTAATCCCTTATAAACCTATAATAGGTATTTATAATATTCTTTAAAAATTATATAGTAATATAAAGTTTAATGACTTTTTTAGAGACTGGTTTGCGGCTTTTTTTATAAGCTTAGCGGTTTTAATAATATATATTTTTGGTAGCTTTTTTTATTTTTTTAATTGCGTTAAAATATATAGTTTTACAGATTTTATTAAAAACAAGATTATAGTATTTTAGGACGTTGAATTTTATTGCAAATATTTATAATATTTATAGCTAAACGTTTAAGTAAATATATAAATGTACTTTTAGTTTAATAAAATATAATAATAAAGAATAGGGTATATATTCCGTTTATTGGGATATTTTTCGTCTTAATAGGTATAGTTATATTTTTTATTTTTTATTATTCCAAAACGTTAAATTTTATTGCAAATATCCGTAATATTTATAGCTAAATGCCCGAATAGATATATAAATAGGCTTTTTTAGTGGATTTAAATAAATAGGGCGTATATTCCGTTTATTAGGATATCTTTTATTTTAATAGGTACAGTTACGTTTTCTATTTACTATTATTTATTAGGTATAGGCGTTTAAAATATTAAATCCTATTGTAAATATTTATAATATTTATAGCTAAATGCCTAAATAAATGTATAAATGGGCTTTTTTTAGTAGACTTAAATAGATAGGGTACGTATTCCGTTTATTAGGATATCTTTCGTTTTAATAGATATAGTTATATTTTTTATTCGCTATTATTTATTAGGTATAGGTATAGGTATAGGTAAAGCCGTTTAAGCGGGGTTATAGTGGTTATAGTTTTAACGGAGTAATTACGGATATTTCGGCGTTATTTAAAAGGTTAATCGTTTAGGTTTTATTACTAAACGTTAAAAATTTTATAAATAGGCTTTCGGTTCGGTTATTAAATTTAGGTATAATATTAAGCTGGTTTTTCGGCGCTATATCCGATAAAAGCGAATTTTATAAATAGGCTTTCGGTTTAATAACCGGATTTAGGTATAGTATAAATAATATATCAGTATTATACCCGATTTTTAAATTTACTTATAAAAGCTAATCGGAGGTATAATTATTAATTGGCTATTAAAGCCTTTATTTTTTTTACTATAAAGGGTTTTAGCTTTAATAAAACCGCTAATAGCCGGCTATTTTAAATACTAGCCCTATAATAATTAAATAGTAATAGTAATAAAAGGTTAAAAGGGTTTATTAATTTTTCTATTATATATATGGCAGTATTTTAAAATAAAAGCTGGTCGGCTTTTATTATAACGTTAATAAATCTATGGCATTTATTTTATATATAATAGCCGGAGAAATGTAATAAAGCCGTATTTAATAGACTATTTTTCTCCTTAAAATATGGCTAATTATACG